ACTTCGGTTAGGTCTGCATTTCTTTTTTTTTTTTTTTCTGCGGCCTCTCATACTCCTACGAACAATTCTCGCGATTCCTTAGAATGAGAGGTCGGCATTCTTTGGATGCGTTACTGACTAGTTTATACAAGGATGCAAGCAAGACCCCGTCAGTGAACCTTGAAGCTGAACAGCAACAAAGAACAATAAATTTCTGACCATGCTCTTCATCAGAATTGAATCTTCCACCTCAACTTCGCAGAGATATTTTTCCTCCCACGCTCCAACGAATGACCATGAACGAACTGCCGCTGCATCCTGAAATATAAGTGTTCCTTTTGAGCTCATATACATTTCAACAAGTTTGCCAGTGCAGATACGTTTCGTTTTAGCATATCTGTTAATCCCCTGCAGTGAACTGGCTCAAAAGTAGCAGCATATCAGAAGGACATTTGTCCAGTAACGAATATAGTTCAATTGGATCGTGAGAGTGAAGCTGTCTAAGTTAAGGCGAAATCAGCCATACCCTGTACCTGAATCCTTTTGGTAACCTGATATTTTTCTTTTTGGCTTTCAGAGACACGACTTTTTTTTCAGAAAGCTGTATACTCGCAAACGGGGGCCAGGGACAGCGCAATTTCTCCTGAAAATACTTTGTTTTAAGAAGGAGTGAAAAGGTATTTTGGTCAGCGAAGGCAAAAACTTGGGCTTCCTGACTGTTAAAACTCGCGCACGCTACTTCAAGCTTCATTAGCACATCACCACATTACGTTATCGGTAATATAATTTATTTATTGGGTACCGACATTTGACGCTCGTGAAACTTACAGTGTGTTGAGTTTCCTGGGGGTAAATCCATTCGTCAGCAACCATGTGTTCACTTTTGTCCATCATTCCTGACTTCATGGTTGCTAGATGAGATCAAACAAAGGAACTGAAAAGAAAGAAAAACAAGAATAACGATGGACAAATCACAGGATGTCCTCATTAATTCTACACAAAAATGACCCTTGCTGACCCTTCATTTCCATGCTATAACCTCTCAAGAATGCAAAGGTACACAAACAGAAGTGAAGTATGGTATTGCGACATGTGAATACCTTGGCCACCAACATCCTCCTTTTCTCACGAATGATAACCTATTGTGTCCCTAACCCTTGCTATAGCGTGAATGATGATCATCAAGCACTGTCCTTTTTTTCTTCTCTTTTTACGTGCATCATAACGATGGATTGTGCGACTGTCCACAAGTGCACATGAGGGTGACCTGCTGAAGCCAGCAAATGGTCTCTCCTTTTTCCACAAAGCGTGTCTCAAATTTTTGCTCTCCCTTTGAAACCAGCATTATACTGTTTAAATTATTTATACTTTATATGCATCCTCCCTGGCTGTTAATAAGGCTTAGAAATCGTAACATTCGAGAAGAGGTGGTGATGCTCAACATACACCAAGGGCAGACATCTCGAAATGGTCGAGCCGTTGGACTTAAAGTGCGAAACGAACGCTAGTATTGCGAGCGTTCATTAGTATTGCATCAGACAATGAAGTCAGGGCGGTTGGAAAATTCATCAGTCTTTATAGTTGAGATTCACCAAAGGATAAATTAGCAACTGTCCTAATTCGCACGCATATTCATCATATCAAAATTTTTATTTAATAGTATTTTCAATTTCAAACAAAAAACTGCTTATAAAAACTTCCAAACACTTACTAAAAACATCCCTATCTGAGCTGAAATTTTATCCGTTTTTACGACAGTCTCAGTTGTTTCAAGAGACGTGCTTTTATCAAATTCAAATGTGTCTTTATCAGATCAAAAAGTACAAACAATGTCACTGAGTCCCCCAAGCCCGCAGTAGCAAACCGCAAATGTCAGTTTCGGATTTTGAGCGGCGCGTGATCACGCACATTCGAACAAAACTCAAACATCGAAGCAAATCAAAGATATCAGTGGAAAAAAAAGCAAGCGACTGAGAAATTTACGTATTTTCCAGAGTGACTGAAATTTTTTGCATCATCTCAACGAGACCCAACAAATCATCACATTCCCAGCATCACTGCTGCATCCAGAGAGTCGAGAGCTATGCTCCAAAATGTTTTTCAAATTCTTGAAGTATTAAAAACATGATACATATCATCTCATTCCAGTGGAAAAATCAATTTCGCAATAACCAGATTCTATTGTTACGTCTCACTTCCTGGAACAATTTAGTTCCCAGGGAATTATGAAAAGACTGTCCTCCGGCGAATTTCAAACAAGCCGATAAGCGAGTTTTGAAAACCGAAAGGGAACGGCGCAGCTGATCGGTGAAAAAGATCCATCGCATGTCTCGTCACTACTATAATATATCGTTTGTAAGAAAGATCACTTGCCGATCCAGATTCTGGGACAAAAGCAACACAAGGGAGCCCCTCTTCCCTCCCCTCCTTCCCAGGGCGAGAAACTGCCACGAGCAAGAAATCAAACTCCAACATCTAAAACAATACAGCTTACCAACGGAAGCAACCAATGTACGATGACGCGACGATTGACCGCACGTATTTTTGCAGCAGGAAACGGTGATAAAGCAATCCACATAATTGCCAGGATCTGTACAATAAAAATCTGCGTAACTGACTGACACAACATACCACTGTAACGTACGTAGAAAAGGCGGGACGGTTGCTGCTTCCCATTTGAGCTGTTGGATGCAGCACACCTCTGTGCAATGGAAGCACAAGAAAGTGACTAGGAAGCAATAAAATTCTGTGAAAGCAGGTAAAAAGTTTAGGTAGAAAAACGAAAATTTTACCAGTGAAACGTAAAATTTCTCCGGGATGGGGGAAACTAAAAAAACAGATCGAACGCAAAAAATGTTGAGAACGAGGAAACTGCAATGCTCCCCTCTCTCATTAGCGCTACACCAAAGGATCAAAAAAAAAAAAAGTCAGGTGGCCAAGTTCAGAGTCGTCAGGTGAAAAGGGCAAGTTTTTGGCAAACTCACCATTCCTGATCAATCTTCATGTTTCCTGGCATCGCACCAGTTCCTGCCCCAGATTTTTTGGTTGTTTTCAGCGAGGAACATGGACGTGAATGTTGATGCTGGCTTTAAGATCAAAGATTAATTTTTAATTCCCATACGGCATGGATGGTGGCTTTTCAGCGTTTTTGTTTACGCTCACCTCTTGCGTCACGTTTTCGCTGGCACAAACACTCAAATCTGAGGATCTCAGGTCACAAAGCGTGATCGATAGCTTGCCTTTGAGTTGATGGCGGAAGAGCAGCTTCGCCGGAAGTGTTGCATTAATCCATGAAAAGTGCACTGCAGGCAAAAGTCAACGTGAAGTTGGTCCGACGGGATCGCTCATTTTGTGGAATACGAACATCCAGGAAAAAGAAAGCGAATATAATCAAAGCAACCCGCTCCCCCTCCTCTCCCCCTCCCCCCTCTTCATCTCTCCAAACTAGCTGTGTCGAACGGGTTTTCTCACGCTTCCATGTTTTTTTGGAAGAGGGGATTTTTGCAGTAATATGGAAGGGCATCCCCTGGAAAAACAGCTGTAAAGCATGCGAACATTAACCAGAATGACATGCATCGCGCAGCTGCAAGCAGTGCAGCTTACGTTTTCTCAACAGCACCAATTGGAACAACCAATCCATCTTCGGTTCGTTCATTGGTTTTGATGGTGAATTAGTACTAGCACATACCACGAAATCGTCTTCAGTTTACTTCCACATAACCTTCGAATGATGAGATCATCGACAGCTTTGCCAGTGAGTTGTTGCTTTTGACATGTGTTATCACTCAGAGTGCCCCCTGACTGTTCCAGGCTCTCCGGAAAAGTGAGATGAACCCATTGCATAAGACATGCAGCTCCAGAATTTGTCGGATGAACTAGTAGGCAATGCACAGAAACGGTGTAAATTTCACGAAGGACAAAATTAAACGAATGAATAGCATTTACATTCATGCGCTTCTTCTGTAGCTTCGGGAACAACTCCGTCACGCTTGCAGAAACCTGTGCTTCGTGAAGACAAACAATAAAGACAAAAAACAATCGGGACATGAATCTTTGCAGGAAGCGAACAGGATTGAGGGATGATGAAAAAAAAAATCCATTTAAGTGACAAATGTTGAATTACTTGGCTGCACTAAATTAAGGGGAATGGGAACGCTGCAAGCTGAAGTGGTGTTGAAAAAACGGAACAATGAGGTCTGTAACTGTCTAAAACGTCAGTGGATGTCTCTCTGTTCGAGACAACAACCTCGATATCAAAAGGTCCGATAAGTAATTTTAGGCTTAGAGCCGTGTTCCGTAATGGCTTCATTCGATTCACATTCCTCTGGCTCAAGTCTCCAGCTCACTCCCTCCTAAAATTGGGAATTAGCTAGGACGTCGGCCAAGAGATATAATAATTCAGCGTGGGGCTCTACTTCAAGTTATCTGCTGCGAACTGTTTGAGAAAAATTACAAATACTAGAATGTTTTGTCAAACAGTCTAAGCATTAGGTGATCTCCCAAAATCGAAAATCTTTGATTGTCAGGTTTCTGCAGTCAACTTAAACATTGATCTGATGCTGTCATGATACAAATGTTACTCTTTTTTAAGCCATTCATTCCCAATTGCCCGGCAAATAAATCTTCCAAGGTTTCCAGTGCTTATCTTTTGCGGAGCTTGAGCCATAAACTAGCTTGGAAATTAAGCTTACGGATTAGAATACAAAAAGAGATGTAAGGTGATTTAAAATTAACGATTCTCTACACATCCAAGGAGGTAAATTCTCAAATTTCTGTCTTTTAGCTTTTGTAATGCTAGAACTGACTTATCTGAGCATGCACCCAACATTAACAAATACACACACACAAATGCATATACATAAACGCGAAAATTCGCTCACGTATGCATACATAAGTACACTTACACAAACAAATACGCACATATACACAAACAGACCGAGCGGGGCACACACAATTTTGCTCAATGCCTTCCTTTTTCGTCGAAGTCGTACACTACGCAAATGTTGCGTATTGTGGAAAATTCCCCTCTGCGAAATGCACACTTGAGCATGCAGGAGCTGCATTCACTAATTCAGCATTATGAAAATTTCAGAACCCAACACGCTGAAAATGAATATAAACACGCTGCTTCTGCGCAAATTTTCATTTTCCGGCGTTTGTCGTTTAACGTGCAGGCGCATTGAATCGTCGTCTATTTCTGGCTGAATACTCGAACTGCTTCGGCTGACTGAATTTCACCACATCCGAATCGTGCACTGCTGTTTTCGCGTGCACTTTGTACCAAAGCAAATTCTTGTAGTGTTACACTGCAAATTATCGCCTTCTCTACAGTTCTGGTTACAAGCCACTGCTCAATTCATAGTGGCCGAAACAATATCCAGAGCGACGTCCGGCTTACAGCGTGCAGTGCTTGTGAAATATTCGGTTTTTTCCAGAGTTTCAGTAAAAACGACAACTGTGATGAATCGCTCAGCAGCGCCAGTGACTGGGCCCAACGGTTTTGCTGTATTTGCACAAGAGCTGCAAAAAAAGCTTACTGGACAACGACAAATCGAAAAAGACGGCTTAATTTCGCCCTCTTTCCAGAGTATTGCTGTGCCACTTTGGGAAGCTCTCAGTAGCGGCAGCAAAAAGGTCCGCTCGTTCATTCATCATGCAGCTTATCCCAGTTCATTTTTATATCATTTTAATTTCAATCGCTTCAATCGCCCGGACTCACTGCTCACACTCAGTGTTACTCAGATGCAGCAGGGGTTTTCGGCCACATTGGTACTTTGGTAGGCACGTTTGTCTACCAGTACAGCTCAACTCTTAGTACAATTGGAGGACACTGAACTGTAGTTCATCTGTACACCAAGTTGCTATTTCAACAAACACACGTAAACACACGCACGTACAAACACACATATGCATACAAACACACACACACACACGCATGTACGTACAAACACTTACACATAAACACACACAAACATACGCATATACAAACACAAGCACACAAATACACAGAAGCACACGCGCATATAAAAAACTGCATAAAACAAAAAACGCATATACATATCCACACGCACAAACAAACACACACACGCACATGCGAAAACAGACACACACGCTTGTACAAACATAGTTATGCGCTCACATACAAACACATACACACACACACACACACACACAAAAACACGGTTTTCTGGCGATGGTGTTGTATGATTAAGCAATATTTACAGATCTGGAAAGATCGGGCAAAAATTCGGCGCGACACTGAGAGATTCTGCGCTCTGACGAATGCGCAGCCAAAGCCGATAATGCCACAGGTTAAAAAACGTGGCTCTGAAACAATCGGGTAAATTTCCACTCTGATCCGCTTACGGTTGGACTGTTAGGCAAAGCACCGCCATACACGTTTGCGCCTTTGCCAGTGTATTCACTACGGTAGCCAGACGTCGCCAAGCTGAGAGTTTTACGAATAAGCATTTGGCGCCAGTATAGAAGCAGCGCCAAAGAGAAAAACTATGGTCACTTGACTGACCTCTAATATAAAACTGAGTGAAGCAGTTTGAATCGCTAAATGTCTAGCGGCACTTTTCGACAAAATCTAAATTTTCGAACATTACCACTGTGAAGAGGTAGGGCGTGAAATATGAGAGGGAGGAAAGAATTCTGATTAAGATTTGTTTTCTAGAGAATTCTGTTTAAGACTTGTTTGCTGTTTGCTAAAAAGGATACTACGAGTCGTGCATCGGCTCAGCAATTTGAGAAAAAAATTCTAATTAAAAAAGAATTGTAGCACTGTGGTAGACAAAAAGGAAGACAATGCGAAGGATAAAAAAAAGGATACTACGAAAGACAAAGAGGAGGACAAAAAGGATACTGCAAAAGACAAAAAGGAGGATACCGCGAAAGACAAGGCAGAGATTACCGTAAAAGAAAAGAAGGAGGAGATCGCGAAAGACAAAAATAAGGACATTGCGGGAGGCAAAGAAGAAGGTACCGCGAAAGGTAAAAAAAAGGGTAAAAAAGTGGAAGAGTTTGAAGAGGACGAATATTTAGACGAACTGACCATCGGCGTACCAATGAACCAAAAGGACTACGACACGAAAGGTAACTGCTGTATCTTCTGTGTTCTGGTAGAGGCAATTCTGTAAGGGAACCAGTAACAGTCTGAGTAATTACCAGAATTGTCTGAGAGCTCACTGAGTTACAGAGAACAACCTCAGTAAAATGACTTACAAGGACAAGTACCAGAACGACAAAGCATGCGTACTCACATTTTTGCGCACTCTCAAAGATATGGATGAAGTCCGCGTTAGTATTTCCTCCTCACTTTTGAATGCGAACTAACTGGCTAATAACTTCGTCTTTTTTGCAAACGTACGAGCAGCTTTTCTGAGATAATTCTTCTTTGCCAACTGCAAATCGCCCCGCAAACAGAAAAAAATAATAACTTCATCAAAGTGAAGTGATATGCGAGTTCCGGATGCCGAGTAATACATCCACTGGCAGCAGATATTTTTGCTGACGAGACTTGAAAGATCGCTCGAAAGAGGCAAATTCAAGCGGTCCACTCAGAGTCCCTTAAGCGCTGTTCTCGTGCACATCGCACGATACTATGCTATGAGTGGTTGAGTACTGTATGTATCTGACAGCCCCTTACGTATCGTCATTCGATTGCTACCTTAGATCCTAATTACTTTTGAAGACATTCACAAAAAGTGCCAAAGCAGTACGGTTTAAGTGCCACCGATTAAGTGTAGAAGGCAGGATATTCATGTCTTCAGCTTTATTCACTGTCTGGATCTTTGTTTGAGCACTGCTTGTTGTTTAGCGTGCACGCTTTTTGTTCATCTCGGTGCAGACGTACGGCTCCATCGACGGCACTTGCATTCCGGCCGAGATTGCGATTTGCGAGTTCAATTTGAAGCACGGCATCATCGACAAGGCACTTTTTTGAAGTTCACCTGTCTTTTCTTTCATGGCACTTTTTTTAGCATGCGAAAACGCATCATATTTATCAGGTATAAGAATTCCTCTTCTGGCATCATCACTCGCAGTGGCTACTAGTAGTGGTTTCGTTTTCTGGGAGTTATTTAGGTAATGAACTAAAATGCCTCTAATAAGGTAAACAAGGTAGTGCTGATTTACCATTGATGATGAGCTCACCAGCATAGATAATGGTAGTTGGCTGTTATGCCACTGAGCAAAACAACACTGGTCTTCGTTTACCTTTCTTTACCATCTAGGCATTTAATAGAGAGATTCATAATCTGTAAGCGTAACTCATGCAGTATGAGCGCTTCTGGATCAGAAAATTTGCCCATGAAACGGCAGCGAAAATTTTGATGGCACAATAGACCAGAACGGTACAGACAGAGCAATGTTTCGAGAGATTATAGCTCTAAGGTCTCGCGTGAAATAGAAAATCGGTTGTGTAGATTCCTGGTGAACTAAGTTGCCAATGATTTTTCTGAACACTTTAAGAAGCAAAATGACCAGGGGCTCCAATAATTCTACTTGGTATACAACTGGATGCACAGATTCCTCATAAAATCGAAAGAATTTTCACCAAGATTATTCACTTCGTTTGCCGCCCGAAGCAAATGCACTGCTGCTAGCAGTCAGAGACCAAAAGTACCCTCTTTTACTGAGGCTAATTTTTTTTGCAGTATTCAACGGTGGTCGGACCATGGCGCTTGAATAATGACGTAGAACGTCAGAGAGCTGAGTTTCATGCTGCTCGAACGCATCAGCTTCATTTGAGCATTTTCTCCAAGTACCCGCACAACATTCCGACACAAAACACGGTACATCTTAGATTGTTGAGCCATTCAAGCTCATCTGTTAGCACTTTAATCATAAAGCGATCAGCTACAGTTCGTAAAATCGCCTCCAGCAATGCAGTCGACAAAGTAGTTTTCACTTTGCTCTGACCAGCAGTAGAGATCAGCGTCCTGGCGATGCTGGCGTTCGCTTCGTACGCAACCACATCAGATTTGTATAGCAGCTATACCCATTCTTCCTTTAATCCTCTAAAAAAACAGAGTCGGAATTTTTGTAGTAAATTCGGCTTATAAAAAAAATAAAGTTAAAAACAAGAACAGGGTGCTGGGCGCAATCGCGATCTGACAGAGTGTTATTAGATCTGCAGTACTTGATAACTTAGAGTTCTACAGTGATACTCTTAATATTCGGTGAGTGAATGGGGTTAATAAAACTGGAAAATTTTTTAGTGCTTGCGAGAGATTTTGGGTCGCTGCGAGCCAGAAATTGCGAAACAGCAGGGCGTTTGCGTGGGTCTCTATAAAAATGGAATCACCGAATTTGAAAATGACATGGTAGGTTTTTTTTACTGCCGCTTCAGTTGAAGCAAATAAGAACAAAAAACACGTATTTCTAGCCTAAAACGCATTTCTATTGCAGGAACCATCGCTAGACAATCGCAATAATGATAACGGGCACGATCGAAACGAACCACATAGATGTTGCGGCGGTGGCGGCAACAACTGCTGTGGTGGCAACAATTGTTGTGGCGGTTGCCGTGGTGGCGCCCGTGGTGGTTTTGGAGGGTGTGGTGAATGCGCAGGCGGTGGTCGTGGAGGTTGCTGTGGCGGCTGTCGTGGTGGTTGCTGTCGTGGCGGTTGCGGTGGCAGAGGCCGCGGTGGTTGCGGTGACGGAAACCGTGGTGGGTGTGGTGGCCGTGGCGCTTTTAATGACCGTGGCGCATTTGGCGGCCGTGGCGCTTGCATCGGTCGTGGGGCATGTAGAGGTCGTGGCACATGTGGTGGCCGTGGTGCACCTGGTGGTCGTGGCGCATGTGTCGGCCGTGGTGCATGTGGAAATCGTGGCGGTTGCAATGGCTGTGGTAGCTGTGACGGCCGTGGTGGTTGCAATGGTCGTGGTGGTTATTGTGGCCGTGGTGGTTGCACTGGCCGTGGTGGCTGCAGTGCTCGTGGCGGTTGCACTGGCCGTGGCGGTTGCTGTGATGGTGGCCGCGGTGGTTGTAATAGTGCCGACGGTGGCCGTGGTGGTTGCAATGGCGGCAACGGTGGTCGCGGCGGAGGTTGCAATAGCGGCGACGGCAGCCGCGGTGGTTGCAATGGCGGTGCTGTTCATGGCGGTTGCTGTAACGGTTGCCGCGGCGGTTGCTGTAGTGGTGATGATGGCCGCGGTGGTTTCAGCAGTGCTGGACGCGGTGGTTTGAACTGCGGTTGCCGTGGCGGTTTCGCTGGTCGTGGACGTGGAGGTTTCAGTCGGGTTGGTCGTGGAGGGTTCGCTGGTCGTGGGCGTGGCGGTTTTGGTCGTGGTGGTCGTGGGCGCGGTGGTTGCAGCTGCCGAGGTGGTTGCAATGGTCGTGGCGGTTGCACTGGCCGTGGCGGTTGTTGCGGGGGCGACGGTGTTCGCGGCGGCTGCAGGTGTGGCAATGGAAACAGAGGTGGTTTCAGTGACGGTTGCCACTGCTATTGTGGGGGCGGTTGTGACGGCGGTGGCTACGGGTGCGGTTGCTGTGGTTGCAACGGCTGCGACGGTGGTTGCGGAGGATGCAGCGGCGCTGGCGATGCTCACAATGGCACATGTAGGACTTTTAATGCAATTCTGTGAATGCACAGTTCATTGCACTAGACATTTGGGCTCACAGATGAAGCAGCATTTTGAATACAGTCAGTAGTTATTGAGGGACTGCGTGGTGCGTGTCTAGCTCTGAAGAGTTTTTCCAGCAGGCCCAAGGGTCCCCAGAAATAGGTCGCATCATTGACAAAATAGCTATTTTCGTTTTTATACAGCAATTATTTCAGCTTTTTGGTCGCAAAATGCTCATCCTAATCGAACGGACGCGCGACCCTGGTCGCTAAGCAAGAGGCGCTGTTCAGAATTCAGAACCAGTTGGGGCTTCAGTACCAGACGTGGTCGAGGTTCGGCAAAAACCGACTTCTTGCGAATTTACCATTCCTTAAGCTAAAACTGTCGTTGTGCCAGCCGCTTTCACCTTTATTGCATTTGTTATATTGTATTCATTTCAGGCTATCCCATAAGAGGCAGACGAGGAGGAAGGTTCAACAGAGGCAAGTTTTATGCATTTTTTTTCAGCCTTAAAACGATTTGATTATACTTTTTCTTCCTGATGATATGTCGTGATCGAGCTGCCTGTACAATAAATCGGATCAGAAGCAGTACCACACAAAATGAAGGAGCGTCTGGTGAAAATAACAGTCTAGCGGACTACGCGTTTACTCTGCACTGCAGTGCGGTGAATGCAGTTCCAAGAATCCATTATTACCATCCGGACTGTTTTCACAGGGAGGGCCTTCAGTGATTACGAAAATCACAAACCTAAAAGGAACTTTGAGAATTGCGCGCCACCTCAAGCCTCCTTCATGGATGTTAGAGCAGAACTGTTGATCCGACTTTGCGAGCGATCCCAAGTAAGCTGAAGACTGATAGGAAAAAGAAGCAAAGTTCTGATACAGGATTCGCGATGAGCCGCTTTGTGCCCAGACGTCCAGGAATGCCCATATTTGCTGCCACTAAAGAGGGACGTCGCTGGCTTGTATGCTTAAATCACGAATACGAACAAGTGCGTGCGTCGCTGCAGTACCTCAAGAAAGCCCAGGGGCTACGTTACGAAGGTAAAATCCATGCTTCTTACGTGTTGCATACGCCGGTGTAATATGAATATCCTCAAGACTTTGTTGTGGGCTTGTGTGTTCGAATTTTTTGTTCAAGGCTTTCAACCCAGCAGCCAGAAAAGATAGAGGCTGGACTTTTATCAGGTTGCTTTCTGTTCATGTGCGACCACGCAAATTTAAATTCATTTCCACGTAGGTAGGTGAAAGTTTTGACGGGGAATTACAGCTCAGAAACCAGACGAGATAGAAAGCTGAAACTTTGGGAGAATAATTTCCTCACATGTGCAACCCTGGAAATTTAAAATTGGGATTCACGTACGCCTACATTTCACATAGGATAGGCGAAAACCAGGGCCGAAAATATTCTTACTTGAAAAATACACAAGATATAAAGCTGAAATTTCAGGATGTTTTTTTTCTCCTAATTTAAAACTGACACCCACACTAATTTTTAATTGGCAGAAGAACTATGTGCTCATTGCAAATCAGTTTATTACAAAATTGCGGAACCTCACCGGGTGTTTATTGTTATAATCTGACCACTGTTAGGCTGAGCAATAAATAAAGAGTCTGTGTCTGGTTCGATGTTGTATCATCTTTCCCCGTGCTTGAGTTTGCTGTTGATTACAGGATTCCCAACAACGGAAGATCGCTTTTGGTATGCTGATGCAGTAGTTGACGCTTTGGCTGAACACGCGAAGGGAGCGGCAAACGACGAGTACAGATTATGGATGGATATCTTTGGGAAAAGGCAGCCGGTTGAGGTAAATGTAGAGGTTTTAAGGATGAGCGGCGAAATAATCTGAATATCTTCCTTTAGTCTTTTCAGTCCTGCCGGAAAGTTTAAACAGACAGGTGCTTCATCCACATACGCACGCTTCAACTTCAGTCAGTTTTTTGCAAATTTTAATGAGAGTGGTGCCTTGGGTTGTTCACTCCCGCTACCGAGCGCTCGCTTAGACGCATCAGTTCAGTAATCGCTGGGCTCACATATTTAGTTTGTTTTCGGTTATTCAAGATCGCTGTGTCCAGAAAAACTATCTTAACTCCTGATCATTCGCCCATACTTGCAATCTCCATGACACCGATGTAAGTGTGCGTGACAACACAGTTCATTTTTTTTTTTTTCATCTCATATTCAAATAAGCGACTTTTTCATCACAGTTTTTACTTTTTACTTGGTATTCTTAGTATTCAAATCAACGGACTATCCAACGGGTTTTTGCTTACGTTTTCAGTGAACTATTTCAAAAAATGAATGTTAATTTCTAAAGCAAGAATTTCGGTAGGCTGGCCCAACTTCGTGGCTTCAGCTCACGCGTCTCCTTTCATACTATTTCTTCAACTTTCCTGCTGTGTTCAGACCCACCCACTCCGTCAGTTCCACTTCACCTACCCTTTCTTTCACTCAGCAAATCAATTTTAAAATGCGGTCGCAGAGTTTGGTTTTCACTCGCTCCGATACTGTCGG